GAGTTTGAAAAATTGACAACTTGTCTGTAATTCAAACTCATCAGTCATCATTGCTATACAGTATACACTCGTTGCACATTTTCGACCTTCGACGGGAATTCAGGGAAAGTTGACGCAATTGTTTACTATTTTTTAAAATACCTTTTACGAATACTAGAACAGCAATAATGCTTAAAATATTTTCTTACATATTATGTATTATGATAATATATACAATTAAATAATTAATACAAACTGAGGTTTAATTTTAAATTAAATTGTTTAAATTTAAAAATATATGATATATTTAATTAATATTACAAATTAATCGCCATATTAAAATGTCGTACCAACAATAAATTTCGGGGAGAGGTTGACCCTCCCCCCTATAATGCCACTAGTCAAATTACCCGTATTATATATATTGTGTATTGTGTTTTGATTAATAAGTTATAAAAAACGAAAATAAATCATATATTCATATAACCAACATCAGTGAAGTGCCCTGGAAATGTCGATGGGTGGGTTGGGGGGGGGGGATTTCATAAATAATAATACTTTTAAATGTATTATGAGGATAGTATCAAAGACACACGTAAGGGGATTTGTGGGTCAATGGGCGGGGGGGGGGATATAACCCCTAACCTACCTAAATAACATATAAATGAAACCTAAAGGCGCATTCACAGCTACTTCGTGCGAGGACTTGGTTATTATATGCATAGGTATAACCATGGTTAAGACTGGTAACCAATATGGTTTAAAAGTTGAGCAGTAGCCAATTCTTGGTATACTCGGTTGCACCTTGGTTATTACATGATACCAAAAAAGTAATATCCAATCACAATACGATTTGATCGACACAACACGACACACAACGCAGCTGTGAATCCGGCTTAAGTATATGTGTTAAGATAATAGATATTTGGTTTTGCATGATTATCGTTTCAAATACTACATTGGTTAACCTCAATTTCGTTTTTTGTAAATAAATTTGTTATCACTTATCAAAATAATTTGAAACTTGAGAAATCAAACATTGCTAACTTCATTATGTTAGTTTTATCAAATTATTGATCATCGGCTATTCGGCTTAATAGTTTTTTGATATTACCATTTCGTCATCTTACCCAATACGTCAACTTATTCTGAGTTCCCCTACATTTTGTCATCCGGTATTGGGTAAGTGTTCTCTGAATATATTATAATATAAACACGCATGATAACGCAATAATTTACTATTTTATTAAAATAAAAATTAATATTAGTTATTAAGATTATAATATAGTACTTATATGTATTTTTTAATAGGTACTACAGAGATTCGTCAATTTACACTTTATAATGATTTATGTATTTTCATTATTAGGTATTGATTAAAACTTTTCGTAGGTAGGTGAAATAAAATAAATTTAGATTTGATTTGAGTAATTTAAATTTAGAATGAATATATTTATATTATCTTAATTTGTTATATTTCGTACATACGAAATCGTTAAATAATTTATATAGCCCTCTGTAGTCTGTACATTTCTCATCGCTGATAAATTTTTATAGGTACACATTCTGACATGGTATATTACTGTATTAGAATTTATTCTGTTATTATCTAGGCTCTCTAGGTAGGGGTACCATAACCAGTGTTACCAGTTCACAGTAGTGTAGTTTTCTGATTGGTCTCGACGTTATGAGATCATAGATAAATACAACAACTAGATAGCAGTCTCCTTCTTATCATCAAAGTCGTCCGCCATTTACAAAGCAGGCAATGTTTACAAAACTATATGATCACAGTATATATGGTTATATGAATAAATTTAAAATTAATGTAAGCATTGCCTGCTTTATAAATAGCGGCCGACTTCAACATTGGTCTCAACTGTATTTTGGCGTCTCCATAAGCTAAGGGGCATAGGCGCAATTTGGACAACTGATTTGGGGGGGGGGGGCTAAATTTATAAAATCAATACAGACCCTCATAATTTTTTTTATAGGTGAATTTAAGAATGAATATATTTAAAAAATTTAGGGGGGTTTAAATAAAACTAGCCCCCTAGACCCCCTAAATTGCGCCTATGCTAAGAGGCCTAACCACGGGAAATATGAGAGATACATCTATTTAATATAATACATCTATTAAATCATTTTTCCTCAAAAAACAACACATACCCAGATAGGTATCCTGAATAGTTTTTGAAGTCTTGTCAAGAAATAATTTAAATTTGCGTTTGCTTAGTTTTGCCTTAAAATAATTTAAATTTTATAAGTTTTAATAATTCTCAAGGGAACAAATTTCCGACCACAATATTCTGGAGTCCCCAATATACTGGCTTCCGAGGCAGTTGTAGTCCGACTGTAGTGTAAAGACGGCTATCTATAGTTGTTGTATAGACGATCGACCTATAAAGTTTATAGGTCTATGAGTTGTTGTATATATCTTTGAATCTGACGTTGTTTTTGTAACGTAATATTATTTTTGCTGCTGTTGTACTCACAAATGATGTTACTTTTTTTATTAATAAAAATAAAAGAAGTTACCTTTAACGAATTGAGTTGTACTACAGTTCAAGATAGGTACTTATAAATATCTAATAATGTGCGGTTGTTTACAATTCAATATTTTTATTTATTATTATAGCAATGGACACGATTCGTCCTTGGCTCTATTTTATCAAATGATTTCAAAGCAGGTACTTACTTATTTTTTTTTTTTACTTTGTGTGTGGTGAAACGGATTACAGGCCGTCTATTTTCCACCACAGTATAAGAAGATTAAACGGAACGTCTTCCGAAAAGTTTGTCTATCTCACATTGATACTTATATATTGTTAGGTAATGCTATACTTTCAATGGTTTGTACGCTTTTAGTTTTTCTATACATTTGAGAAATTTCTGTATAGGACGTATACCAACAATGACATTATGTATGAAATAAATAATTCAATATTTTACAATATTTCTTGTTAATAGTTTGGTTGAGATATTCCATACGAAAATACAAACTGAAACATTAAAAATTATAATACTTTTAACACGACTAGGTCAATGATAAAACAATAATTTGAATTTTTTATAAAACTTATTATTGGTGGATTGTTAATTTGTAACTAATTATTATTGTCCATAGTTAGCTGAATGATTCCTATACAATATTTATTTTGTTGATCAATAGTTACTGGCAGATAATTATACTTACAGTACGGATTCTGAAGCACTAAAAAATTACAGAAAAATCATTAAAAATACGACAATAAAGCTCTAATAATACTTTAAAAAATGAACAATAAAATCGGTTTTATAAAAATATTTTTAGTATTAAAATTATGTTTATGTTTCTGTAATTTTTCTTTCAATGCTGCAAATTTAATAAACTGTTTTAGATAATTTATAAAAATAAATAAATTAGTAGTAGGTTACTAAAATAATTATTTACCTTTGCCGACGATCAGACAATTTATTATGTTTTAAATATTATTTTTTAGTTAATTAGTGAGCACACTAAACAGGGCCGTATTTACACTTTTCGCGCCCGGGGTAACAATATTTGTACGCCCCCCCCCTCAAAAAAATCTCTTTTAGATTCTGAGTGGAACGATGAATGTATTGATTTTACAATGATGTGTGTTTTTTTATTTTTAATTTTATTTTTGTGTCTGTACACGATTAGTATAGTTAATGAAATAATGTTTCGATTTTCAACTGCAGGATCTTGTTCGATGGGAAAGTGATAGTTGGTACTTTTGCTAGGTCAAAAATTAAAGTTCCCAGTAGATATGTTTATATTTTCATTTTCTATAAACCATAAAATGTTTTATCTGTTGGGCCAAAAAGTGTAAAAATTTAATACAAGGCTCCTGATATATTGTTACAATGGCAGTTGAAAAATATTAAAAATACATAGGCACAATTTTTTTTTTATAAGCATGAAAGATCGAATTTTGACAAAATTTATCATATTTAAAATTGAATAACTATTTTGTAGTTAAAAATTTATAAAATGTTCAACTTTTGTATCTAAGGATTGAAATTTTAAAACAATATTCCACGTATGTAGTTTATTCCATTAACAAAAAATCTAAAAAATATAGAAGGTCAGTTTATTTTTATAGTAATTTTAAGTTCAAATTGCTTCGGACATAGTTTAAAATTCTTCTAATTAATATTTTGAAAATTTCGTTTTGTATAGGTAATAACGGTAATTAAAGTAAAAGTGAAATGATTCAAGTTTCTATGGTTAAAATTTTTTGAATTAGGTACAACTCTATAATAAAAGTGGTTTAAAGTGAATCGTTATCTTAAGTTAGAATCTTCAATGTTCCCAAAATTTGAACTTCAATCACCCATAAAAAATGCACGTGGCTATTTAAGCTAAACTTTTTTTTAAAATTCCAGTTAAAAATATATGTGGATTATTGTATAAAAATTTTAAGTCTTAAATATTTAAATTAAAAAATATATGAATTTTGGATTAGAAAAAAACGATAATTTATTAAATATGGTCTAATTTAAGAAGCATTATAAATTATTACCATTTAATATTGTTTGTGTTATTATGCCTAGGTGTAGTGTCTAATTTAACGGTAAAAATTTGTTCTGTCTATATAATAACGCTTTTAGAAAATATGTTCATGGTCATAGATTAATAATTAATTAAATTGTTTTAGATTTCTAAGTTTCACTTATATTTCTTTCACACTTATTCGACATATACATTATAGTTGACAAGGCAACTAGCTACGGCCTACGGGTCGATAAAAGTGTTCAAATTAAACCCGCAACGTTATTATACGAATACAATTTGTCGGAATTCGTTCCTTGTCGAAACAGATAAGATGCGCGCATTAGTGTCACCGCATGTTTATTTAAATACTCTCCAACCGACCGTTAAATCATTAGTAAACCACAAGGTAATTAATATTTATTATTCCTCTACTGACTGCAGTATGCCACTATATAGACAGTATATAGTCTATATAATAGTATTATAGTTGTACTGCACTTGTACGTGTGGCTCAGTCACGATGTCGCTTCTCAAGTGTAATGTTGTGCTCCTAAGGTAGTGAACCTTTCGCTCGTTGTCTGTGCTTACCGGCCAGTTTAAATTTTATTTTTTATTTTTTCAGTTTGATGGCCCTGACAAGTGGCGCTGTTAATTATAATGGCGCTTCAATCAGGGAAGTGGCCGACGACGTGATGGTTCACGGTGAAGGGCCGTTTTGGGATTCTGAAAACAACGTCTTGTATTTCGTCGACATTTCACAGCATCGCGTTTACAGATTTTACGAAAACCGTTTGGAACATGTTCAATTAGGTAGGTATCTATATGTTATTACCTACACATAAAAGTTTTTTTTTTGATTTTATCGTGCACTTGATTTATTGTATATTTTAATCCTATTAGACGGCGATGTGGGTTTTGTGATCCCGGTTCGTGGACAACAAGGCCTGTTTGTCATCGGACTGGGTACGACGTTGGCTACTCTTCGGTGGAATCTCAACGAGAGCACTAACAAAGTCGTTAAGCTGACCACCGTTGACAACAATAAACCAGGAAACCGATGGAATGACGCAAAAGCGGACACCAACGGGAACTTGTGGGCTGGTAAGTAAACATAATATTTATAATATGCAGTATATATTATTATTGTACCTATTACCTATATGGTATATAACAAGTAGAGAGGAATTTTAAATACACCAAACAAAAATTAGTGTAATATTTTAAATTAAATATTCCATTTTTATTTCCAAATTTATTTATCGTTCCTAAAAACAATCGTAATCCCACGGGATCGTTATATGTACGTTGTCATTTTCTAAATGAGAAATAAAGCGAAACAAAAACTGTGTCAGGTACCATGGGATTCGAGGACGCCGCTGGAAATATCCCACCGGGGCGTGGGACTTTGTACAAGCTAAACGACACCAGTTGTTTCAAAAGCCTCGAACCCGTCTTACCGGGCGTTTCCGTTTCCAACGGACTTGCGTGGAACGACGGCAATACAAAGATGTATTACATAGATTCGCCGACCAAGCAAATAGCGGTTTTCAACTACAATCCTGTTACGGCTTCTATTTGTAATGGTTTTATTCGCATTCATATTACTATGTTTTTTTTTCGTCCAAAACTAATGTCTGACAACACGTTTTCAATTTCCCAACAGCGAACCGCAAAACGTTCTACGATTTCAAGACCGACAACATACCGGGCGTACCGGACGGTATGACGATCGACGCCAACGGTGATCTCTGGATTGCTAATTACAATGGCGCTCAGGTAAATGTTGTTATGATTTGTTTGGTGTTTAAAATGTTTTTATCACAAATTTTCAAACGAATGAGTTAGGTGCTGCATGTGAGTGGAACCAGTGCAAAGTTGTTGGGCAAGTTGAAGATCCCCGCCGAAAAGGTTTCATCTGTCACGTTTGGCGGACCTCAGTTGGACAAACTGTACGTAACGACAATTAGTCGTGGAGTGTCACCAGAAAAATTCAATGAGTATCCGATGACGGGAAAGGTATTAGAGGTATCTGGTCTCGGAGTCAGAGGCACAAAGAATAATCGAATACGTGAAAAATGTTTTCGACAGCTGTAAATATGTTTACTATCGTAAGCTAAAAAGTAATTTGTGTTTTACTACGAAATGACGTGCCCCGACCTCCTTGTACAAAAAACAATTCGTAATAATTGTAACGTAATTTATTAAATATTTAATTGTATTTTAACTATTGTCTTTGTGATTTTGTCCGTGACTTTTATGATTGTAGTATAATTGTAATACTTTCTTGCATTGTCACCGTCTGAATGTATATAATATGTACCTACTTTGTTATACACTTATACATAAATTAAAACATTATATGCAACCAGGGTTGGGCAGTATCTTCGATACAAGTATCTAAGATACGTATCTTAGATACATTTGTATCTTGTATCTTGTATCTCGATACAATTATGTGAAGTATCGAGTATCTTGTATCACGATACATTTTTAGTCAATGTATCGAGTATTTCATGAATTAATTTAATCGAAAGATACTCGATACATTAACGCGATACTTTGAAAAATTAATTGTTTACGATTATTTTTACTAGTCAGAAACCACTTTTGAAAAGTGACTAATGTATTATTATTACTGAAAGTGTCAATGTTTTTTATTTTATTTTTCATTCTAATTACTAAAGAGGACGTCTCACCCGGATGTGTTGTCTCAGTCTTACACACGTACGACATGGCAAATTTTCGTTTACTAGTTTCAATAGGGTATTGTCAGTTTTGATATTAGATTGAATCAACCTACAATCAAACTTTTAGGTAACAACATTATCTGTGTTCTCTCGTTGGTGTTTTACGATATTTTAATTTTTAAGTGAGTTATGAACATTTTAGAATATGAATACTTTACATACCCATAATAATTAATACCCATGAAAATAGGTCAATTCACTCTTATATAAAAACTAACAATATCATATTGAAACTAGCCAACGAATGTGTGTAAGACGGTGACAACACATGCGGGTGAGGCGTCCTCTTAATGAAGTGGCCATACCCACAATAATAAACATAATTTTTAAAAATCCAGTGACTAATTTTATTAAAATGTATTGAGTATCGAGTATCGAGTATCTTGTATCGCGATAGTCCAAAGCCAAGTATCGAGTATCTAGTATCGCGATACTCTAGAGCCAAGTATCGAGTATCTAGTATCTCGATACTCCAAATCCAGGTATCTAGTATCTACTATCTCGATACTGATTTTTGAGTATCTTGCCCATCCCTGTATGCAACTACGTATTTGTTAATTTATGTATTTTCTAATAGATACATATTAGTAGTAACTATATAACCCTCTTGTAAGAACATTTTGTATATTGTCATATTTAAATTAAAAAAATATATACCTATTCGAGTAATTAAAGATAGGCACAGATAAATTAATATTGATAAAATTAAATGTTTATAATTAGGTACCACTTTGTTTAAAGTCGAGTTATTTCAAAGTCCATTTGTGAACGTTTTTATCTAGTAAGATAATGGTTGATAAAAAAATTTTTGACTTATTCACAAAACTATAGAAGTACCTATATGTATTTTTAAAGTTAATATTAAATTAACAATATAAGTGTACATGCAAATTAATAAACTATGATGTGTTATGATTTATGTGCGTATAAAGGAAATGAGAAAAAAAGTGTATATAAAAACAAAAGAATAAACAATTATATTTTTATTATACACTAAAATTACGTGTAATAATTTCAACAACAGATATAATACATTTAGGTTAGTTTTATAGCAAATAGAAATACATTTTGGTAATACAAATGTATTCATTATTTTTATTTTTTTTAAAAAATTAATCTTTACCTTCCGCAGCAGGGATTTTATACATTACATTTGACTTATATATGATAACGATTCGATAACAATAATTCAAAGGGGACTTACAACTATATTTGCTTATGTCTCTGTTAAATGTGTTTTGACACTGCTGAGAAATGACACGACGTTTTCTAGCTGGCAGTCGAGTCCGATTTTTCAATAATATAGTACGTTATGTTTTTCTCTTTCTTCTTCTTTTGATCTTTTTCACTCTTATTTATAATTCTGAATTGGTTGATTGAATATTGTATGTTATTTAAATCAATTGTCTGAATATTTTGATATATTATTTGATGTTATTGTTCTATATACCTGCATTATGTACATTAATCAACATTTTCGATTTTAATTGTAGATATATTCACAAACATTCAGAAATTGAACTCAAAATTGTATAAACCTACAACCGATCAATGTACTTAGCATAATGGCATCCAATAACCCCATTGTTAGTCCACCCCTTGCTGCCTAAAAATATATTGGTGCAGAAGAGTCTTCTTATAGGTACTCTTAAATGTAACTTATGCAATTAATAATTATATGTAAACTAACTTTAGGAGCTCCGTCAACGGACGGTTTCCTTTCACTTGTTTGCACATGCCCTTGTACCTACCACGTACATAACATATTAATATATTATAATAATATACCTACAATGTCTTGTACAAATTATATATTTCTAAAAAAAGTATTTACATAAGCGCAGGATACACAGGAAAAAGTAATTCTTGGTTTTTATTCGAATACTAAACATTAGTAATTTTCATTCGCTATAGAAATAATTTTGAGTTTTTTTTTTAAACAAAATATTCGCTATAATCAATACTGTTGCTTTGAACAATAATTTAAAAACAGCGGATTTCTGAAGATTGATGATTTTTTTATGAGACTTTCACAATGCATTCGTTTCATTCGTGTAACTATATAGTTGACAATGCAAATTTTACTTGGGAAAAAGAAATAACGGAGGAATTCGTATAAATTGTAAGAAAGGGCTTATCGAATTCGGTTGTGAATATTTTCTATAAACCAATTGTTGTTGAATATAATAAATATTTTATTTTTTAAGTTGAAAAAGGTAGACAGTCTAAAAAGTAAAAACATTCACTTACACATGTACCTAAACTCCCAAAAAGAAAAAGTCCGACATATTATACATTATTAATACATACAACTTTGTCAAGATTAAGGAAATTTATAATAGAAATATGTCTTGTGAAAATTTTACAGATATGATGACATAAACATTTTGACGGTTAGGGTCTAATTTCGTTAACTTTAAAAATCCGTAAGTATTTTCCGAGAGCCTCTTTCAAACACCAGGGGCCTGCTGGTCATTCATCATTTCTTATAATATTAGTTATCCAACTAAAGCTAATCCCTCTTTACCATATTACCATCAGCACTTGTGGCACATTCATAATTTATTTAAAAGTTAACTATTTCATATTTTGATCACCTAAATATCTTTAAAAAGGGAATAGGTATAGGTCCTATACTTAGTTTAAATTAAATTTTTATTTTTATGGCCGGATATTATATTTAGGTACCTACGTAGTACGAATAGGTATAGGTATAGTCACTATAAAGACTAGTACCTACTAGAATTAAGTGAATTTATTTTAATTTCATATATAGTCACCTAGTTATCGTTTGGCATATATGAATTATATAGTTTTTTAAATTTTTCTTTCATAGGACATATACCGTTTCTGTCATTGCCCTTTTCCGCCAATTTAAAAAAGGTTTATACCTCCGGCAGTATACCTTCTTTGGTAAAATTATTATCCTCATATTCCATAATAAGATTCCATTATAAGATATTTTGAATTCGCATGTACTCATACATACGTGCGTAATAAATAACCCGTTTTAGAATTTATATAGTATGTTAAAAATTGTATTAAAAAAATAAATGATTATTATTAAGGTATATTTCAATTTTAAATTATAGAGTTGTAACTTGAAATAATTTTGAATAGTTTATTTGATAATGTTTAGTATAAAAAATATAATAATAAACAATAGGTAAATCAAATAAAAAAAACACATAATATATAGTAATACCTTAAGGTACTTAACTACTTATTTGAAAATGATTTTCGATTATTCATTTAATCATTTCAGTCTTTTAACTGTGTCTAAAACTTATTTGTCTGATAAAGCTATTGGGCTGGTCTTACATTAAATATGTTATATATTATACTTTTTAGTTTATATATTCTACTGTTTAAATTCGATTTGAAAATGCTTTAAGTATACCTATCGAAGCTACGATTCTAATATTGAACAAAACAAACTTGTTGATTTACAGATGTATGTATAATTCTGACTATTCTAAGTAATATAATATCACAATATTACTTGAAGTACCAGATTAAATATGTGGTTTCCGACCATTAAGTTTGAGGATTCTCTGGATTCTTGCTCGTCAACACCACGGAGTACAATGTCTTCCACTGTAATAATTAGGCCAATATTATCTCCCTCTTTCATTACCTCTGCCATTATATCCCGTAGTGCCATGATTTTCTTCCGTAGTTCCGTTTATTATTATATCCTCTGCATATACGAATTAATCATATATAACATACACTAAGTTGAGGACTTTGTTGTTCTCACCCGTGGCACATTATACCCTTCTAACTATACGAAGTCTATAGTGCCAAATTGAATAATGTCGCTGAAATTGTATGTTCCAATAATACAGTGCTCCCCGTATTGCAAATAACGCGGATATACCTAACGTTTATTGACTTGACTATCGACTGCGGGTTCTTAAGTTGCATATAACCACACCGTCAAAGTGAGATTTATCTGAATAACCAAGTGCATAAGAGCTTGTCCCCCCGCTCTTCCTAAAGTAAGTAGTGTTTGGTACTATCAACAAGGCCTATTTAGTATTTTGCACCCTGGGACAAAAAATAAAAATTTGGTTTTCTTGCAACAATTTATGGCATACCTACTTGTAAAGACGTATATTATGAAATATAATTTGTATTTTATACATTGGTACTTCGTATCATAATTTATTGCCCAATCTCAATTTAGAGTAATTTGTAACTTTTATCCAGTCAATAGTCATATTATAATAAACGAGAATATAGTAAAATACTATTTTTTGAAGTAATATTTTTTCTACAAAAGCAATATTACTCGAATTTTTCTTGTATTTGTGGTTTCTACTTTTTCACAATTTCTCGGTTGCC